GAAGGCCAGCTTCTGCTTTCATTGCAATAGTCAACAGATCTTGTTCCCGGGGTGTTTGAGACTGCTTGCACCCAGCTCTGAAATGGGAGCCAGTTTAGATGTCAGACCAGTGCAACCCATTCCCTCTACAGGCAATATTCTCTGCGCCTAAGGAACCAAACATCGCACAAATTTAAATAATCAGCTATAGTCACTTTTGCTGGACCTCTGCACGGTGGAAGTTAAAAGTTTAAAAACCTCAACTGTAATCATTACTAAGGAAAGTAGATGCATCTTTGTCTTGGAAGAAAAAAATGGGACAACAACTATGTAAACTGCTGTGGTAAACTACCTTGCAAGACTTAACAGCAATAATGTAAGGCAGAGCAAAATCCCACACAACTGCTAGGCAAGGAAGAACAGTTTCTGTGAATACAGCTCTAGTGATTTCACTGTCCGTGATAATTTTTGAGATTGAAAATAGAAATGGCAAGATCTTCTTTGCAAACTTGCATAAACCGTACCTTATAAAAAATTGATTCTGCTGTAATTATAGTGGATACAGACTCAGGAGCCTTGATGGGCTGAGAAAAGAACACAGAAACGGAAAGTCAAAAGCATTAAAAACAAACCATGTAATATAATTCCAGGTTGTTTTTTCTTCCTTTTAGACAACATACTGATACATTATCTTCTTAGGAAAGTAGTAAATACAAGAAACTGGGTGCAAAGATTTCAAATATTTGTACTTTAAAATGGAAAACAATAAAGCTAACATTTTCATTCTCAGGATTTTAAGCGGAGAAGCGAGTACTAAATTCACATGACTGGTTTCTATTTACACAAAACTCCTTCCCTCAAGAGAGGAGCCTGAAGGAGTGGATGCTGTGCGGAGCGGTGAATCACGCAGGCAGGCATGCCCATGCGCCCGGGTAATAAACCCGCTCTGGCAGCGATTGCCACCACTTCCCATCCAGGTTTCAGTCTGGTTTTGCGACAGGAGCTGCAATACCCCGCGCTGGGGCCCAACGTGCCGGCAC